TACCAATAGTCAATATATGAATGGATCAACAAAATGTGGTACATTTATAGGATGGATTATTTAGCTTTAAAAAAAGAAGAAAATCTTGTCATTTGCCACTACATGGATGAACCTAGAGAATATCTTGCTAAGTGAAACAAACCAGACAGGGAAAAACAAGTACCAATGGTATCAGATATATGTGAATCTGAAAATAATGATAAATAATAATAATAATAATAATAAATAATATTATTATAACTGTTATAATAATAACATGTTTTAAGTAAGATTATAGAAACTGGTAGTACAAAATAGGTTTCCAGAGCTGGGGAGTAGAGTAACTAGAGGTTGTGAATTGATAAAGGAAAATAAAAATAAAACACCATGCCTTACCAATATGCTATTATCCATCTGGAATAATTGAAATAATTTAAAAATACAAAAATAAGAGGCTTAAGATATTCAATGTATTCATGTACTTATAAGTCAGAATTTGCTAAGTCTGGAGAAATTACTGGGGTTAAATAGAAGGAAAAACTGTAAAATATATCTACTTAATATAAACATATATATATTTATTAGAGTAAATACATATAACTTAGACATACATAAAAATCTTATGGTTATTAGAGGAAAGTCAACTACATAAAAAGGCAACAATTAGGACTCCTATAGTGTGGTGAAATTTATTTTCTTAAGGTCTCTTCTGCCTACAAACACATAAATAATGAAGGGCAGAAGAAAAGAGAAAGGGGGAGAGAGGAGAAGGAGGACAAGGAGAAGGGGGTAGGGGAGGGAAGAGAAAATGGATTATCAAGATTCAATACATAAATAAAAGATAAACAAATGACCTCACTAAAATCTCCAGGAGTAAGGGCAGGGGCTAGTGAGATAAATTAAAATCTATGCAGGATGATTTTGCAAAATTAGACATCTAGCATTGCCTTTTGAAAAAAAAATACACACACACACACACACACACACACACACACACACACACACACTGGAGCTAGGAGAAACAAGAAACAGATATAGATCTCGAGGAGTTTGGATGATTAAATTGGTGTTCTATCTTTCATGTTTCCAAAAACCTTTATTTTTTCTAGTTCTCATAACTTTGTTGGATTTATAGATAAGATCAAAGAAATACATCAATACTTCTTCTTTTTTTCTTTTGGATTAAAGTTTAGTTACTTTTAAGGGTTTTCCCCATCCTGTCAGTAGACCCAGGCCATAATTTTGGGCTTGCTCTCTGATAAACTGTGCCTTTCTCTTTTCTCTCCCACTGTAAAGGCACGTGCCTGCTTTAGCGCAGGAGCCCATGCCCCTCTCACAACTTCCTTGGGAAGTTCCTACAGAGCCCAGTCAGTGCCTTGTTTTCTCCTCATGCCAACAGGTAACGTTTTCTTTCTTTCCTCCTTTGTTTAGGAAGCTTTTCTTCCTGTGTTTAGCATTTGAGCCTGCTCCAAAAGAGTGTGCTGCCTCATCCTACACCCAAAGTCAACTACTAATTGAAGTATTCAATTCAAAAATAAATGAATCCACTTCTTTGAAGAATTTTTGAAGGTTTGGGCTTCATATACCAAAATAAAAATGGAATTCGGAAGTTCACAATTCCCTATTTTTACCAGTCCTGGAGCTGTTGAAATGATTTGTAACACTGTTTACATGAAGCTAAAGCTGGACATTTCATCTATAGTATTTACTTTTTCCACTTATATAAGATAAGGTGACTATACTTCACATTATAGAGCTTTACAAAAAGAATGAAAAAAAAACCCCACTAGAACATACTTTTCCACTGGCACATAAAGGCTCATCTATCTCATTTTACTGATTTTTAAAACAATAAAAAGTGTTTTGTTTCTATGAGTCAATCATCCATAAAATAAAATAGACTAAAATTGCTAAGGGAGCAAGACTTCCATTCTGGGTTTCTAGTTCATTCTGATTTACTAACATAAATTCTGCCTTTGGTCACATTTATATCTTTCTTCCTTGGTTTCGTACCCAAGGAAAGCTATTTTCACCTTTCTGTGGAGGGTGTGGAAGTTTTAATCCTGACATGAGTAATACAACACTGGACTAGCTCTCAGGAAACTCTCTGTAACTGTAATCATCCTTCTGATATTTCTCTACACAATTCTTCAAACTAAAGATGTTCAGAGGATCTTTGTGAAGAGCAAATTAGATGATATGTACTAACGACAAAGAAAAATGTTGAATTGTCACAACAATGTAAGATATTTGAATATTAAAATGTAATCTTCCTTCAAAATATACCTTTTGATTTTCAGTGTTTCAACATTGCAAATATTTCATGAACCAGACACTGTCTTTTGTATGTTTGTTTTTGTGCTCAGAGTTTCCAAGCTAATGAAGTAAGATAGCTTGACTGACTTCAAATGTATGTTTTTCTTATACAGCAACATCCTTTTGCTTTGCTTTCTTTTGGCAAAACAGAATGTACCATGAACTATTAACCTGAGTCTCTCTGTCTGCTTCAAAAATTTTTCTGTTAACAATTCCTTTTAAAAGAAGTTAATCATGAAAATAAAAGCCTTACCAATAATTACCTACCATCTTGTTTTCGTAATGTACTTAAATATTTATACTTCTACTCCTACATTAAACTAATCAAATGAGAAATACTGCTAAAGAAATTGCCTTATAAATAATGGTTGCCCAGAAAGATGATAATCTACTTTTCGATGCCTCTGTAATTTTCTAACCAAATAGGTTTTTATTGCGTTGCAAAATACTAGCAGATTACAAGTGACATGAAAAATGTGTCAGCACATATAAATGCAGGCTGGTCCTAATGACTATTATTCATTATATTATTGATTCCCAAGAGATTCTGTTTACAGAAAGCAATGTTTGAACCAAGGATAAATATATGTTTGAAAAATATAAAGCCCCTTTTCATTCTTTCATTAATCCTAGTCTTTTATAATAAGAAAACTAATTTTATTTAGAAGTTACTGTTGACTTAGATTTGTGTAAGTACATATAGACAAGTTTGAACACATCAATTAATTTAGGTAAATTTTCTATTATTATTAGATTTTCCTTTAGAAAAAATCGGGTTATTGTGATCAAATAGAATTGTAGAATTATATATTTGAAAAGATTGATGAGTTCATCTACATGTTTGATTGTTTTATTAGTATGTAGCCACCATAATGCATCCACAGTATAGATATCATTATGAATGTTTATTGTTTTTCTTGCCTCAGTTAACCTAGTTTCTTTACATATATAGAAATATTTTAGAAATAGCATGGATGTTTTCTTAATAAAGCAAACAAAGCATTGCTCTTTCTCTGCTATAACAATTTCTAAACTTTTTGAAGCTACAACATACATATAACCTATAATAAAGATGATCATTCAAAAATCTTGAACTCATATTGTTAAATATGTACAATGTGGGCTTATTGGAAAATACTGCACCTGGAAAATATCTAGGAAAACTGAAAAAAAAATTATTGACTACCTTATTATTACAGTGAATATATCTAGTTCATAAAAAAAGCCAGAATATCACCAAAAGTATACATATTTTCGTGACCTGTGAAGGTATTTTAAGTGTTTTATAGGGATACCTGAGAGATAAATCCTCAGAAAGACATCTCTGGCTATACCACAGTCCCTATTTTCTCAACCAGAGGCAAGAACTACCTCCTCCAGAAATTTTTATCTAAGTAAATATGTGAGAGGTGTAGGGACCCAATGGTGTCCTGTTAGTACTCTTATCTACTTGTCTTCCAGTCTCAAATGTAGAGAGTTCCTCTCAAGAAACTTGCCTGTAATTGTGAGAAGCTGAGTTTGCCTAGATTATAAAGTAGATGGTGACAGGAGAGAATCCTTATTACTACTAAAGAATTCTTTAAGTTGTTCATTATTATATGTTGCGACCCAGTCTGATGTATTTTGTAATGGCAACCTTACCTGATAAATACAGTAATTTAAAGATAAGTATGTTCTGTGATTATGGAGATTAAAAAGTGGCATTGAGATTGTCAATTTACATTGAGTTATTTATTGCTTTTACAAGTTATCTCATGAATCAATACCATATTTAAACAGAGGTGGTTGATCAGCTGTCAAGGGCTCTCAAGAATAGATATTTATATAGGTTAGGGTTCAACCTTTAACTTCAAAAATCTGTAATAATATTCAGAGCATCACATTGTTCTACTGTCTTCCACATTTAAGCATTAAATCATAATCATAAAATAAAATGACTTAGAGAAATGAAGATAAATAGAACACAATTCCTTCTGACCAAGGCTCAGAGAATGGGAGAAAGTGGTGATAAACTATAATCCAACATAGTAAGTGTGAATGACTATAGATGTCTTCTGATGAAGAACTACTGGGACACAGGAAAGATGGATGAACTTCTTAGCATAGAGTTGTTCAAGTTGGGATATTTGAATAGGACCTAGGGAAACTTTTAACTTTCTGAAATATATTATTACTTTGGGTGGTTATTTGTGTAGAAGTGGGGAAAAAATTAGAAGTGGCAGAAACCCAATTCAAATTAGCTAATATAAAAAGGGTATTTATTTTAATGATAGTGGAATAGAAAGAAAGATTAAACACTTAATCCATGGGAAGAAAAAGTACACAGCTAAACCCAAGGAAATACTTAAACAAGTATTGTTCTCACGCATTTCCACAATTCTCTTTCAACCATTCATTATTCTACATCACAATTTATTTCCTTTTATTTCAGAATGTTTCCCAGAAAAGTATGGAAAACAAACAGCTTAAGAGTTTTTCATTTTAAAGAATAAAGAAAGATACATTTTCTTGCTCTCTTTGAAAAGTTGAGGAAGCATTTCTCATATAAAGTTCCCACTTCTAGGAATATATCCCAAGAAACTAGAAACACCAATCAGAAAGGATATATGCACCCCTATGTTCATAGCAGCACAATTTACCATAGCTAATATATGGAAACAGCCTAAGTGCCCATCAGCAAATGAGTGGATTAAAAACTGTGGTACATCTACACAATGGAATACTACACTGCTGTAAAAAAGAAGGAATTCTTACCACTTGCAACAACATGGATGGAACTGGAGAGCATTATGCTAAGTGAAATAAGCCAGTCAGAGAAAGATAAATATCACATGATCTCACTCATTTGTGGAATATAATGAACAATATAAACTTATGAACAAAGTCAGATCCAGAGACAGAGAAGCATCGATCAGACCATCAAACCTCAGAGGTAAGGTAGGGGAGTGTGGGGGTAAGGGGGAGAGATCAACCAAAGGACTTGTATGCATACATATAAGCCTAACAAATGGATACAGACACCAGGGTCGTGATGGCATGTGTGGGGGGTGGGAGGGCAATGGGGGGATAAGGACACATATGCAATACCTTAATCAATAGAGAAATTAAAAAAAAATATCCAAAGGGAAAAAAAAATAAAATAAAGTTCACAGGCGTCCCTAAGGTTTGCTCCACATTATCTTCAAATAATACATTAGAAGCAGAATTTTCAATGAAATTGAACATTATCAAAGCCCTTAATCTTGAAAATGGGTGTTCATGAAATTTAATGGCTTCAAGTTTGGGCCAGAATATAGGTTGATTTAGGGCTAAAAGGAAAGAAATTAACTGAGCAGAACAGCAACATGGAAATGAAGGGTAGCTTCATTCATAGCTACACAAATATATCCACTCCCATCACCAAGATCCAAGAGAGAATTTCTTTAAAACAATTCATACTGAATAATGCAATTTATCCAAAGAATAAAAACCCATATTGTAGTGAATTTGTGATGATTTCCAAATAGATAATCAAAGTGTTAAACTTAAACTAATAGAACTGATCCCATTTTTATTCTAATAACCTGTAGATCAGATACAAGAACTTTAGTTTTCTTTCTGGCCTGTGGCTATGACTGCATATAAAAAATTGTTGTTGATTTCTTTTTTAAAAAAATGTTTTATTGATTTTTAGATAGAAAGGAAGGAAAGGGAGAGATAGAAACATTGATAAGAGAGACATCTATTGGCTGCCTTCTGCACGCCCCCTGCTGGGAATCGATCCCACAATTTGGGCATATGCTCTGACTGGGAATGGGACACCGGACTTCTTGACCCATGGGAAGATGCTCAATCCACTGAGCACACCAGCTGGGCTGATTTCAACTACTCAGATAATAAGATGATGTCTTACAAGAAAATTATATCAAAAGAAGCTGAGTTGCCCCTCAAGAAGTAAAATCTGAAGAGTTGGTTGGTTAAGTTGTATGGTGTAGTCAACTCATGAGTAAATAATATAAAAGAACAATAGAATGAAAAAGTGATTCAAAACTAGGGACATCGTAGATTTCACAATTAAGCAATAAAATACATTATTTATTTTATAAAGCTTTCTTCTTACATTCAGTGATAGCTTTGTTCTATAATTTTTAGTTCATTTACCCTAGTAGTCTAGAAAGAAAGGGATGTGTAAACACTGCCTTTTGTAAGTCAAAAGCCCTCCATGTTTTGTTTTTGTAGATAGTTCTTCATTCCTTAAGGTACAGGTCATGTCATTTTCTCAGAAAGGCCTTCTCTAATCCTTCTATGTAGAGAAGCATCTACCTTTGTTACTCGCTACCACATTCACCTGTTCATTTTATCTTACAGCTTTCTTTTACTTTTTATTTTTTGTTATTTATTATTCATCTCTCATCATCTTCTACATATGTACAGTTCATGACAGAAGAATCCTTTATGTTCACATTCATCATTTAATTCCTAACATCTGATATATAGAGCCTGCCTGCCACATAGTGATTTTTAAATAAAAATAATAATAATTTATTGGGAAATTATTGGGAAAAGCATCAGGGGATTTGAAATATGGGTATCTGAGTTTGACTGACTATTACCAAACAAGGAAATACAGCGTTTGGAGAAAGGAAATTAATTATCCTCAAACCATGCTTATATTTTGGGGCAAATTTTCTAAAGTATTATCTTCTTAAGAGTGTAGGAAGGAATTAATGCCCATCATTAGTGACAGTGAGGCTCCTTAAAATGGACAAGGATCTGTAGGGCGAACCACAGCTGTGAAGATGAGGAAATCTGCTATTAATGTTAACATCATGCTAATATCATTGTAGCCACAGGTTGATATGATATGATATGAAGGCATGAATTACACACTCTTAAATATTAATTTTGGCATCTAATTTAAATAAAAGTAAGATAATTCTAAGGCCTGGTAATAATTTTATTCACTGAATATTTCTGCCCATTCTAATTATGACATTTAAAAATCACATACAGATTTTAAATTGCATTATTTAAGTGAATTGTTCCCTATTAGAATACCGATAAAATTCTCAAAATTCTTTTTCTCAGAAGAAGTAATGAGTAGAATCAGAAATGCCTCTTTATGTTGGGTACAGACCTTCCAAACAGAGATGAATTAGTCTCCCTGCTATCTGGTCCCTGGGCTCTATTTAAAATGATCAAATGTACTCATGATCATAGAAACTCTCCAGTGAAGTTTTCTAGTCCATCAGTGCAAAAATCAGCATTTTTTTCAATTAGCATAAAAGACCGAGTGGCTGCATAAATTTATCTAATAAGAAAAAAAATGACTGAATTAGCAAGCAAGCTGGTCTCTAGTGGGGAAACCAGATCAGTAGATGATATTAACTTCTTTTTTTCTATTTTATATCACTGCAAAGTGAATTGAATAAGTGAATTAAGATATTGAAACAAAACAATGCTAAAGGTATTGGTCTTATGAAATTGAAAATTGGAATGTATTTGAAGAGTACTTATTCTTTCTCTTACCTTGAATATACTATAATATAGACTGTGCTTCTATGCACTCTATTAAGAACTGAGATTTATTGGGAAACGCACCAGGGGATTTGGAATAAGGGTACCTGAGTTTGACTGACTATTACCAATGCCAGGTCCACATAGTTACACTGTGCATGCAATCCTGGTAGGTTTACAAAGGCAATTTAATAATTCCATCTTAAATGTAATATCTAGAAGACTTTATAAGTGGTGCTAAAACTATGGCTACTATACTATGTCCGTAACTTACACTTATATAGATTAGAAAACTACTGTCCTGAATAGTTGCTTTTTTAGGAAATAACAAATGAGAGACTTTTATTTTGTCCATCTTTCTCTTTGCCCAACTAATAAAATTCACAAGCAACTTTTTTTATGCATTACCATTAGTAGCCCTTTAAGTTTCATAATGAATCCCCATTTTTCTCCTATTTCCTTTCCACAATACCCAGAAAATATTTTCCCTCAGTTGTTTCTTACTATTTCTCTACCAAGGCTCCTTATATTTCAATCCCACTGAGAAATGCAAATTTCTTGTTATCTTTATTCACTCCTTTTTTACTCTAGATTAGATCAGGAATACTTCCATACAAAGAATACAGTGATCCAATACACAGGAGGCTCAGCAGTGGACAGTAGGCACAATTCTTCTGGTAGGACTATCCAGGGAGTTTGGCAGCACAGAGTCATGGAGGCCTTGCAAGAGAAGCTATGGATGAGAACATAAAGTATACAGGAAATTAGAGATTTGGGCAGAACTATGAATCATGAAATCATTGTAATAGCATGGAAACTCACTTGAATAGAGTTAGCACCTGAGAGATTTTACAGGAACTGTAGTGAGCCAATCACAACATCTGGGCATAGAATCAATGCCATGCTTGGTGGAAGAGGTGGATAATGAGATTAAGTTAAATAGATCAAATATACAAGGAAGATATAAAATATTTTTATATATCTGGTTCTAGAATTAGGACATAATGTGAAGCCTGAAGCAAAAGGATTAAATCACATTTGAGGGTACAATTAGAGATCAGTGTCAGAGTAAGCAAATCTGATCAAATCAGATTAAATACTGAATTAGTGGGTTATTGATATACCATAAGGCTCATCCACACCTATATGTATAAGTAAACCAAGTATTGGTTCATTCTCTGACTGGCTTATTTCTCTTAGCAAAAAAATCTCCAGGTCCATCCATGCTGCCACAAACGGTAAGATTTCCTTCATTTTTACTGCTGTGTAGTATTCCACTGTGTGTGTGTGTGTGTGTGTGTGTGTGTGTGTGTGTGTGTGTGTGTGTTTGTTTTTATCCACTCATCTACTAATGGGCACTTGGACTGTTTCCAGATTTTGGCTATTGTAAATAATACTGCAATAAACACAAGGGTGCATGTATTCTTTTAAATTTGTGTTTTGGGATCTTAAGATATATTCCCAGAATTGAGATTGCTGGGTCATAAGGCAGTTCCATTTAATTTTTTTTTGAGGAAACTCCATATTGTTTTTCACAGTGGCTACAATAATCCAGTCAGAGAAAGACACATACATATGATCTCCCTTTATGTGGAATCTAATGAGCAAAATAAACTGATAAACAAAATTGGTACAGAAACATGGATATATGTCAGAGGGAGGGACTGGATGAAAGAATGTGAAGGGATTAGCCAACACACACACACAGACACACACACAGACAATAGAGTAGTGATAGAGAGTAGAGAGAAAGGGGTATTGCTGGTGGAAGTGGGCAAAGGTGAGGGGGATGGCAATGGAAAGAAACTTTGCTTGGGACAATGAGTGTATGATGCAGTGTGAAGATCATGTTTTATTGACTTGACACTTAAAATCTATTTTGTGAAACAATGTCACCCCAATAAATTCAATTACAAATGATTGATCCAATACAGTTTGTACATGCCTTTATATCAGCCTTCACATTTTTATTCCCTTAACCCTGATAATTCCAACACACCCATCTGGTATAATATTTTACTACTAGAAGCCCAGTGCACAAAATTCATGCATGGGGTGGGGGGGTCCCTCAGCCCAGCCTGCACCCTCTCACAATCTGGGACTGTTTGCTCCTACCCACTCACCTGCCTGCCTGCCTGATCACCCAAAACCACCTCTGCCTCGGCCCCCACTGCAGCAGCTTTGTCAAGAAGGACGTCTGGAATGTCCGGTCTAATTAGCATGTTATGCTTTTATTATTATAGATATTCGGATAAAGTCTTATCTGAAGCCCTTCATGCAGAATTATATAACTGTTTCCTAAAGTTGCAATAACACTTTTT